TCACTAAATTTATTTCATGAAGCACAGATGGGTCAACATTGAAAAAATGCTGAGCCAGTTTGGATTCTTTTATGTAAGGGCGCATATTTTGTTTATTTGTTTTTTATTCGTTTTGGCACAGATTAGGCATTTGGTGAATAATTAGAACTGGTTTTCCCTGAGGACAGGAGTCTTGTCTCAGTTACCTTGTATGTATCCCACATTTAGTATAATTCTCCCCACAATACTTAGAGAACAAATGATTAAGATTCAGGCCTGTTTCCAGGCTTTAGAGATCAAACATTTGGATCAGTAAATATGTGACAAGCACCTTCTATGTGGCAATACTTAAATGCCCAATTCCTGGCTCCTTCCCTTAATTATCTTAAAAGCAGTGTGGGATCATTGAGGGAGAACAATGAATACATGTTGCCCAACTGAGAAATTTTAAAAATGAGTAAGACATATGGAGGCCACAATATCACCTTTATTAATAATGAAGACTAAGTCAGAGAATACATAATAATGTGAGAGCCAGTCAGGCCTGTTAATTAACCCCTAATTTAAGGCATTGCTGAAGTGGGGTGGCTCTCCCTCATGCCCAAGAAGAATGTGGGAGGAAATGAGCTCAGCAAACCCAGTTTGTTTTTCTAAATGTACTAATTAGATAAGTCACTCCTCCCCGATCAGTAACAGAGGGAGTAAAAGCAGAGGGAGTAAAAGCATAGAGAGACTAGACATATTATTACCAATTGAGCTTCCTCCTTGATGGAAGGAAATAGCAGAGGAGTAGATGTTCCTTTTTAAAAAATCATATTTTGGAAACAACATATATAGATAAAATGCTAAATTATATATATATATATATATATATATATATATATATATATATATATATATGTTTTACTATATAATATAAAAAAACAAGGAATATCAAAGGTGAATACCTAATTAATTTTTAGATATATTTGGCACTAGTGTTTCTCAAGTCTGACTGTTTATCAAAACCTGGGGACACTATCAACAATAAATATATATATATATATAAAGTGTGTCGGGGTGTGTGAGTGTGCACATTCTGAGTGTGTGTATTTGTGTATCAGCAGTCCTGTAGGCCCTGGATGTTGTGGACAGTATGAGACAAGTGCAGGGGGACAGGGACCAGTTTAAATATTGAATATATATTAGAGCCAGAGCTGCCTTTTGCCTCTCACCTTGTAGCGTCAATTTGCATATTCCCTCCTTATTGGCTGTGAGTGTTGCCATCTTTGTTGCACAGTTATGATCAATTTGCATATTCTGTCTTTATTAGATAGGATCCTATATAAAAAAGGCTAATATGCAAATAGACCAAACAGTGGAACAACCGATTGTTTTGACATGCACTGACCACCAGGGGGCAGATGCTCAACACAGGAGTTGCCCCCCCGATGGTCAGTGTGCTCCCACAGGGGTTGCTAGAAGCTGTGCTCAAGGCTGGTGAGAGCAGTGGTGGTGGCTGAAACCTCTTCTACCTCTGTGACTGCTAGGTTAGGCTGCCCCCCATGGGATCAACCCCCAAGGGCTCCTGGACAGTGAGAGAGCACAGGCCGGGCTGAGGGAAGCCCCCTCCAGTGCATGAATTTTGTGCACTGGGCCTCTAATATATATTAAATTATTGTTATATTTTAAAAATTAATTTATTATATATTAAATTAAATGAATATATATTTAAAACAACAACAACAACAACAACAAAACAAAACACCCAGAGGACATTAAATAAAACAGACCATTTATTTCCTCTTCCCCACCTTTAGTATGCCCAGCATGAAACCTGTGATCTGTTTTTTAATCTACCTGGGTATAATCTACCAAGTATACAGGTAAGGCTGAAAGCCATTGCATTAGATGAGCTAGACCAGTGTTTCCCAAAGTGTGGTACGCATACCCCCAGGGGTACGGGAAGAGTTTGGTGGGGGTACGTGTTGCACCGGAGTTTGGTGGGGATATGCACTGCACTGTGCTTAGCTGCACGTAATTCTACGTTCTCATGAGTACGAGGGGAACTCAGCGTTACGAAAATTATAGAAGGGGTACACATATGTCAAAAGTTTGGGAAACGCTGATAGACAGATGAACAGAAATTGAGAGGTTTTCTTAATTAGGAAGTTGGACAGACATTGCAGGATAAGGATTGAGGTGGTGAGAAAGGAAGGGGCAGAGCATTTTATTCAGGGGCGAGAACAGTTTAGTAGGAGGATTTCAGAAATAACTGTGGCTCGAGTTACATAAAATCTTATTCTTGAAAACCCTTGCAAAATTTATCGTTAGAAAAATAATCTCTGCTAATATAACAACTGACAAGACATATAGCAACACAGTTTAATAGTTATGTGAATTTGTCCCAAACACGTCTTCATAGTTAAGGTAGTTAAGACTCATTTGTAAAGATAGGAATTCCTAAATTAGTCTGGGGGGATTGTTGCAGTCTTCCCCATTTCAGGGGAAGCTTTGGCTAAAAACCTGACAGTCATGTTTTATTTCTGGTGAGAACCAGTCCCCACTAATCCATCAACTAATCCTGATAATTTTCCTTTCAAAAAACATATCCTTAATTTGTCCACTGTTCACCTCATTGACTATGACCCCAATCCAAGACACCTTTTAAGTGGATTGCTCCGGAGTAGAACTTGTGTTTCTAACAAGTTCTCAGATGCTGCTGATTCTGTTGGTCCAGAGACCATTCTTTGAAAAGCATTGCTTTTAGGGGTTCTCAAACTTTTTAAAGTGGGGGCCAGATCACGGTCCCTCAGAGAGCTGGAGGGCCGGACTATATGAACTACTAATTCCTACTGTAACACCTCGGCTGCGCTCACTGCCCAAAAAACCTGGCGGGCCGGATCAGACTCCTCTGCGGGCCGCATGTGGCCCGCGGGCCGTAGTTTGAAGACGCCTGCGAGAGCAATGGTTTCTCAATCATGGATTCACAACAGAATCACCTGATCTTTTAAAGACAACCGAGCTTGCGCCTGACCTCTACTGATTCTGATTTATTTGGGATGAGGATGAGGGCTGGCCATTTGTAATTTTTAAATCTCTGTGGGTGACTCCAAATGTACATCCAGGGCGGAGATACACTACCAAGGCTAAGCTTGTTTGCTCCTCGTGACTTTGCACTAGCTGCTCCCATTACCTGGTGTGTTCTTCCTCTTAGGTCTTTCCATGGCTGAATCCTTCCTGTCATTTAGGTCTCAGATTAAATGTCTGAGACACTTTGTCAGGCAGGCTTTCCTTGATCCTCTAATCTAAAACAACACCCCAGTATCACATTGTCTTGCTTGTTTTCAATATAGGAATCAGCAGTTCCTGAGATTTCCTTATTTACACTTATTGTCTGTATTTTCCAACTATAATAATAATCTTGAGCATAAACACCTTTGCTTGTCTTACTGACTGCTGTACCCCTGGCACTTACAACAGTGGTTGGCATCTGTGAGGTATTCAACATATGTGAAGAATAGAGAGAAAATAATTTCTTCCAGTTCTTTTTTTTTTTTTTTTTAAATATATTTTATTGATTTTGTACAGAGAGGAAGGGAGAGAGATAGAGAGCTAGAAACATCGATGAGAGAGAGTCATCGATCAGCTGCCTCTTGCACACCCCCTACTGGGGATATGCCCGCAGCCAAGGTACATGCCCTTGACCGGAATCGAACCCGGGTCCCTCAGTCCCCAAGCCGACGCTCTATCCATTGAGCCAAACCGGTCTCGGCCCAGTTCTTTTTTTTCAACTCTTCAACTAGGTTTTAATAAAATGTGTTTTATTTATGCAATAGAATCGAACCATCTATTAAAAAGGCATCAGTTAATTAAAAAATACATCTTAGTTGCACAGGGCTCATTCTCTCCTCATAGAACATAGTGTTAAATCTTCTGCAAAGTCATTATCCCTTAATACTTTTATATATAGTATGGATTTGTTCATAATACTGTTGTATAGGAAATTCACAAACATTTTCAAATATATCCTGACATGGTGAGGATATATTTAATAAATCCAGGGATTGCTGCATAGATTCTGTCTGCCTTTTTTTTTTTTTTTTTTTTTTTTTTTGAGAGAGAGAGAGAGAGAGAGAGAGAGAGAGAGAGAGAAAGAGAGGAGAGGGTAAAGGAATTTGAAGAATGGAAATGTATTGCAGGGAGCAAGAGAGTCACAGGCAAGCATGAAGGCTGTATCTGGTTCTTTCTAAAAGTGCTCTACACATTTATTCTCCCTTTTGGGAACACCTCCTTAATGAATGAGTGTAATCTGGCGGAATTGAAGACTTTTTAATTTCAGGGGAAGACAGAAAATTTGAGATTATGAAAATGTCCTGTTTCATAGTGGTTTGTTCAAGCCGGTGCGGCTAAATCTTCAGTTGTGGGTCATCTGTCACTTGGTCTCAAGGGAGCAGCATGGATTAAACTGACAACTGAGGTGAATTAAGGGCAAAGCAGATGTCCTTAAGTCCACCGGACCATTTCTAAAATACACTATCTTTGGAAACATACAACATCTGTTCCAGGGAGAAAAGGGAGATTCCGCGCCCCAGGCCGGCGTCTCCGGCAGGGATGTGAGTACTTGCTCAAAAGTCCCAAGTGCACAACCAGCGCCCCCAGCTATAAAGCTAGGTTCACGGGCAACCAGTTTTTCAGGCAGCTGCCACCCCTTCCTTTCCTCTTCGTGCTTCGTCAATCATGGTTTTCAACAAAACGGCTTTGTATGTGGAGTAATGGTTGAACTAACTCTGGCGCTTTGGCACAGACCACTGCGCGGGTATAAGGAATACAAAACCTGCAGTCTGAAGACAGAGGTTGTGGCTTGAGAAAAACCAAAGGCAGAGAGGGGGAAAGAGGGAGGGAGAAGCAAAGCTGCGGAGTTGGTGGTGTGTTCTGGGAGTTGTAGTCCACATGGGACAGCTTTCTCCAGGCTCCACCGGGCTCCGGACTTCATCTCCCAGCCGCCCCTGCGCCACGGAGGAGGCCAGGGGTGGGGACTACGGGGGCTGAGCTGCTTTGCAGGGGGGAGGGGGCCGGGGGCTGGGAAGCAGCTGTTAGCGGCTGCCGGGAGACGTTATCCGCCGTTCGTTAGGGCCGAGGACACCCTCGGGAGGGCGGCGACGAGGGCCGTGCGACCGCCGCGCGTCCCCGTGCCTGTCCTCTCCTCCCACCGGCGCGTGGTGTCCGCCATGGAAGCGCATCCGGTCGCCGCCGCCGGGGTCTCCCGGCTCCGCGTCCCAGGCCCCCGGGAGCGATGAGGGGGTAGAGGCATTCCGCGACACGCCTCCGCCCGCGCTCCGCCCGCCGCGGCGTGAAGGAGGGTCGGCCGGGTTGGCCCGCCGGCCGCGGTGTGTGCCCGCGCCGCCCCGCCCCGCCCCCTGGGGGCGCCCGCCTCCCATGCCGCCGCGGCGCCGCTGAAGCCCGGGACCCGCCCGCCGGCCGCGCGCGCCCCCCGCCCCGCCGCCCCGAGCCGGCCGCCCCTCCGCCCCCAGGATGTGGCACAACGTGGGGCTGACGCTGCTGGTGGTCGTGGCCACGCTGCTGATCGTGCTGCTGCTGATGGTGTGCGGTGAGTGAGTGGGCACCGCCGCGGGGCAGCCGCACGCTGCGGCACACACGCCAGCGCTCCTCGTGTTGCTGACTGGCTTGGTCTGTCTGGTTTAAAAAAAAAAAAAAAAAAAAAATTAAGACGTGAATGAACAAGTGTCCTAAAATCATCTGTTGTCCAGTTACGGCTCAGGAGTGAGCCCAGCGGCGCTGTACCCCTGACCTGTGGCAGCCGCTGGCATCCTGGGGAGGGAGAGAACAGGACCCGGGTCTGGGCATCTTCTCTCGGGGTAAACCAGATATTGCTTCACCGGCCGCGTCTGCTCTTGATTGCCATTCTTACCACACTCTGCCCAGATTTTAACCTTGGCCTGTATTCGAAGGTGAAGTGATTGGTTACTCCTTTTTCTTTTTTTCTTAACAGATTCTGACCCTAAAGATAAAGAGAGGTTTCGCTACCTTCATTCAATCAGGAATAGGATCAGAGTTGGGTTTGAAGCACTTGAGAAATTGTTTACTTGCGAGTTCAGGTTTAAACTAAATTCCAAACAGAAATGTTGAGACTAGACAGAACTTAAAAACACTGGCTATATTAAACTCCCAGGGTCGGGTAACCCAACTCTTAGTTCTGTAATAATGGTGCTGTTTTGTTTGCTGTGAGTTTTTCCCTTCTTGGAAATACTGGACATAAAACTTTCTTCTCAAGGTACTGTTAGCTCAGTCTTAGATCTTTTTTTTTTTTTTCCCCCCACACACAGTAATTGATAACTACAAATATCTTAGCAGAGTGGCTCAACTACTGAAAACTTGGGAAGTATTTCAATGTCGAGTTTATTTTTTCATAATTGCATTGAAGTATGGGTTCAGATTAATGCAATAATGGTCAGAATTCAAAAATACTATAAGGTGTATTCATTACATGAGAAATGTACTGAGTTGGGTTTGGAGAGGATATGGATGTGTTTGTGCATATGCATATGCATATATATATATATATATATATATTTGTATTTACATACTTGTATGTATAATTTTTAATTTTCTTGCTTTACTAAGGCACCAAAGTTTCTAATTTACAGCCTTTTTTTCCTGATGATAAAACAATTGGAAAGACTTTTTTAATTTCCTGCTTTTGAAGTCAAGATTTTGGGCTGGTTGGAGGTGTTTAGGATACTTGAAGTAAGGAAAACCAGACCTTTGTTATTTGTTTGGATATGAAGAAGGAAGAAAGCATACACTTCCTTTTCTAATTTGAAGATGCAGGCCACCTGGAGATGGCAGTGAAACATATAGATGTGTGATATGTGACAACACCCTTGGTAGAATATTTGCCAAACTTGTCTTTGGCACGTTAAAATTCCTAATTGCTACAAATATCAGACTTTCTCTTGAGACTGACTAGTAAGCCCAAGACAAATGAAATAGGGAAACTGAGACAGTTAAAAAACCTTGATGCCAAGCAGTTTGTAGACATCTAGAAGATCATGTTTTCCCTAAACCAAGGACACTTAAGAGTAAATAGTTTGCACTTCTAATGCCCAAACAGAGGGTAAATCGCTTAAATCACCCTACTCAGGGAGACAGATAGCGGAAATCCAATTAGTGCTATTTGCCAACCACACCCAAGGACGGATGAAGTTAAGAGAATAAACCTCATTTTGGTACATCGACATTAATCTGATGAATATACTATTGAGACCCTCCCCTAAGATTGTCCCTAAACACCCAGACTTTTCTTTTTTTAATTTAAATTCTTTTTATTTTATTTAAAAAAATTGTTTATTGTTAAAGTATTACATATGTCTCCTTTTCCCCACATTGACCTCTCCCAGCTGTTCCCATCCCCACAACACATGCCCTCACCCCCCTACTCTGTGTCCATGGGTTATGCTTATATGCATGCATACAAGTCTTTGGTTGATCTCTTACACCTCCTCCCCCACCTTCCCTCTGAGGTTCAATGGTCTGTTCCATGCTTCTCTGTCTCTGGATCTATTTATTTTCATTCAACAGTTTATGTTGTTCGTTATATTCCACAAATGAGTGAGATCACGTGATGTTTATCTTTCTCCGACTGGCAAATTTTGCTTAGCATAATGTTTTCCAGGTCCATCCATTCTGTTGCAAATGCTAAGAGGTCCTTTTTATAGCAGCGTAGTATTCCATTGTGTAGATGTCCCACAGTTTTTTAATCCACTCATCTGCAGATGGGCACTTAGGCAGTTTCCAAATCTTAGCTATTGTAAATTGTACTGCTATGAACATAAATGTGTAAATATTCTTTCTGATTGGTGTTTCTGATTTCTGGGGATGTATTTCTAGAAGTGGGATTATTGGGTTAAATGAGAGTTCCATTTTTAATTTTTTGAGGAAATTCCATACCGTTTTCCACAGTGGCTGAACCAGTCTGCATTCCCACCAGAAGTGCACAAGGGTTCCTTTTTCTCCACATCCTTGCCAGCACTTGCCATTTTTTGATTTGTTGATGATAGCCATCCTGACAGGTGTGAAATGGTATCACATTGTTGTTGTTTTGATTTGCATCTCCTGTATGATTAGTGACTTTATGCATGTTTTCATATGTTCCTTGGCCTTTGTATGGCCTTTTTTGAAAAGTATCTGTTTATGTCCTTTGCCCATTTTTTGATTGGGTTGTTTATCTTACTTTTGTTAAGATGTAGGCGTTCCCTATAGATTTTGGAGATTAAACCCTTAACAGATATAACATTGACAAGATGTTTTCCCATGCAGTGGGCTCTCTTGTTGTTTTGTTGATGGTTTCTTTTACAGTGCAGAAGTTTTTTATTTTTATGTAGTCCTATTTGTTTATCTTCTCCTTAGTTTTCATTGTCCTTGGAGCTGTAAGTGGTAAATATATTGCTAAATAAATATATTGCTACAACATATATTGATATTTTGCTGCCTATGGATTCTTCTAAGACTTTAATGGTTTCCCGTCTTACATTCAAGTCTTTTATCCATTTTGAGTTTATTTTTGTGTATGGTATAAGTTGATGGCCTAGTTTTATTTTTTTGCATATATCTGTCCAAATTTCCCAACACCATTTATTGAAGAGACTGTCTTAACTCCATTGTATGCTCTTGCCTCCTTTGTCAAATATTAATTGAGCATAATGGCTTGGGTCGATTTATGGGTTATCTGTTCTGTTCTATTGGTCTGTATGTCTGTTCTTTTGTCAGGCAGTTTTGAGAACAGTGGCTTTGTAATATAGCTTGATATCTGGTATTTAAAAAAATATATATATATTTTTATTATTTTTTACGAGAGGAAGGGAGAAGGTCAGAGAGCTAGAAACATCGATGAGAGAGAATCATCAATCAGCTGCCTCCTGCTCACCCCCTACTGGGGATGTACCCGCAACCAAGGTACATGCCCTTGACTGGAATTGAACCAGGGGCCCGTAAGTCCGCAGGCCGACACTCTATCCGCTGAGCCAAACCCATTTCGGCGTTATCTAGTATTGTTATCCCTCCAACTTTGTTTTTCTTTCTTAGGATTGGTGCAGCTATATATATATTTTTTTTATCCCAGATGAATTTTTGGAAAGTTTGTTCTAGATCTGTGAAATATGCCATTGGTATTTTAATGGGAATTGCATTGAATCTATAGATTGCTTTGTGTAGTGTGGACATTTTTACGATGTTGATTCTACCAATCCATGAACATGGCATATTCTTCAACTAGTTTATATTTTCCTATATCTCGTTTTTTCAGTGTCCTGTAGTTTTCAGAGTACAGGTGTTTTACCTCCTTAGTTAAGTTTATTCCTAGGTATCTTAATTTTTTGTGTGCAATGGTAAGTGGAATTATTTTTTTAGTTTCTCTTTCTGTAAGTTTATTATTGGTATATAAAAATGCTGTAGATTTCTGGGTGTTAATTTTGTATCCTATGTTGCCAAATTCATTTATTTAATCTAGTAGTTTTTTGATGGAGTCTTTAGGTTTTGTTTTTTTTATGTACAATATCATGTCACCTGAGAATAATGATAGTTTTACTTCTTCTTTTCCAATTTGGATACCTTTTGTTTAATCTTCTTATCTGATTGCTATGGCTAGCACTTCCAGTTCTGTTTCTCACAGGAGTGTTGAAAGTGGGCATCTCTGTTTGTTCCTGTTCTTAGGGAAATGGTTTTAGTATTTGCCTGTTGAGTATGATGTTGGCTATAGGTTTGTGATATAAAGCTTTTATTGTGTTGAGGATTGATCCCTTTTTCATTCAATCATCTTTTGTCTTTTAATTGGAGTATTTAATCAATTTACATTTAAGGTAAGTATTGATAGTTACTTGTTTGTTGCCATTTTTATTCTTCACACATGTGTTCCTTCTTCCCTTTCTATTTCTTCTTTTTACAACAGTCTCTTTAGCATTTCTTGCATTGCTGGGTTGGTGGCAATAAACTCCCTTATCCTTTTTTTTTTTTTTTTTTTTTTTTTTTTTGTCTGCGAAGCTCCTGCTTTCATCTTTAATTTCATCTTTAATTCATAGCTTTGCTGGATATAGAGTATTCTTGGATTCAGTCCCTTGCTTTGTATTACTTTGTATACTTCATTCCATTCTCTCTGGCCTCATGTGTTTCTGTTGAGAAATCATTTGATAGTGTAATGGGAGATCCCTTGTAGGTAACTTTCTGTCTCTTGCATCCCTTAAGATTCTTTCTTTGTCATTAACATTAGCCATTGTAATATCGTGTCTTGGTGTGGTCCTTTTGGTTCATCTTGTTTGGGGCTCTCTGTGCTTATGTGATTTTTCTTCCCCAAGTCAGATAAATTTTCTGTCATTATTTTTTCTAATGGGTTTTCTATTCCTTGCTCCTCTTTTTTACCTCTGGCACACCTGTTGTCCCAAATCTCTCTTAAACTTTCCTCCTGCTTTTAAATTTTTTTCCTAATTGCTGTTCAGGTTGAGTGTGTTTTTCTGCCCTGTCTTCTAACTTGCTGATTCGGTCCTCTGCTTCTTTTCTCATCCAGCCAGTTTAGGAACTTTATGACCCTTACTGTGA